ATACAGAAATGTAAGTGAGATTTGGGTCTTGGCCATTTTAAGACTAATATTCGTCCCCTTTAGAAGAAGAGCTCCATCTGAAAACATACAAAAATTGTAAAATTTTAGAACTAAAACATGTTATATTTTTCTTTGTGAAATGATAGTTGACAGATTAAGGTACTAAATATAAATTTATTCATATCTGACGGTTAATTTATTAAGCCTCAGCCTCCTTAATTCATGACGTTTTCAACATAGCATTGCAGGATCAGATTCAGTTTAGATTACATAATGCACATGTTTAAATTTATTTCTATATATATAAAAATCTGCTTCCAACTAATACGCAGTGCTGAATGCTTTATTGGATATTTGTAAGAAAGCCGGTGTAAAGACGAATAATGACCCCCATCGAAAAATGACCGGGGTCATTTTTCAACGACAAAAAATGACCCCCTACCCGTAGAAAACAAATCATTTTTTTGTAGAAAAAGTGTCCTAGGGGTCATTATTTTATATGTTAGTCCTATAAAAAATTGACCCCCGTTGAAAAATGACCCCCTTTAAAGTGAAAAGAGATTCTTTAATTGTCAATTAAATACAATTTCTTTTTAATATTCCTCCTTATAGTGTTTGCTTAAAGAATGATATTCCACTTGTTTTTAGAAATCAAAGCATGCAACAATCAGATTCCAATACTCATTAATAGAAAAATTAACTTTTCCTTCATTTCAACTTTTATAGCTTGTATAAGTTTGGCAAATCCTATTTGACAATGAAAGAGGAGGAAATTTTTACCCCCCCCCCAAATACGTTAAATCAAAACAAAAATAAAATGAAAAGCAAAAATATTAATAAAACTCTATACCTTTCAAAAATACTGAAAGAGGCACAAGATAAAATATAGAAATGAAGCTAAGCCTTCACACAAGTTCAATCATATCATAATATACTTTACAATGATTAAAGCATAGTTTAAAGTACTGTGACAGAGTAACAGTTGAAAATTAGTAGAATTATATATTATTTTAAGCTTATTTTTAGTGCCTCCTTATAGAAAAATAAAGGTACGGTTTTTTTTTTTTTTGTTTTTTTTTTTTTTTTGTTGCTTTTGTTTATAATCAACTTCCTCTTAAATAAGTAAGGGGTGGGTATAACACCTAAAAATATGCACTGTAAAGCTATGGGCTAGTGTAGAATACACATTCTAATGCAAAAACTATACATGTAGACATAACCTTTTAATTCTTGTTTTACTCCACGATTTTACCCAGTCCTGAGTATATTTTTCAGAGAATTTAATATGAAAATCAGAACAAACATTTTCATTTTTGTAACGTCTTCTTTATACTGCATCATTATATGAAAAGTTATCTGAAGACTATTTCTTTTTATGTCCCAGTAATCGAAGATTCGGGGGTATATAGTTTTATCGTGTCTGTCTGTATGTCTATCTGTCTATCTGGCGGTCTGTTTCTCCGCAAAAACTTTAACCTTTACCATAAATTTTCATTTATTGTAGCTATCTCTTTCATATTCGCCCCATGGGGATCCGAGTAAGAATAGGTCCTCAGTACCCCTTGCTTGTCGTAAAAGGCGACTAAATGGGGCGGTCCTTCGAATGAGACCGTATAAACCAAGGCCCCGTGTCACAGCAGGTGTGGCACGATAAAGATCCCTCCCTGCTCAAAGGCCCTAAGTGCCGAGCATAGGCCTAAATTTGCAGCCCTTCACCGGCAATGGTGACGTCTCTATATCAGTGAAATATTCTGAAGAGGGACGTTAAACAGTATATAATCAATCAATCTTTCATATTCAATTTGTGTACATTCCTTGTGACAAGACCTTACTTTGGGTGCCACCAAATTTGACCTTTTGACCTTTACCTTGGAGTTTGTCCCATTTTACACAAAAATGCCATTTTTTTATTAATTTACATTGGCTATAACTTTTAAACGGTAGAACTAGTACTATCATACCTACAAATGTAATCCTTGTTAGATTAAACCTTTATTAAGAAACCATCAACTTTGACCCTTTGACCTTTGAGTTTGACCTTCCTTTCAAACACTTATCCTTAGCCATTAATTTGAACAATTGGTGCTAGGGCTTTCCTATTTTACAATTTTATTTCTCGTGAGAAGACCCTACTTTGTACGGTGACTGGTATAGGACATGGTATGAGATTTTTTTTTATTTATTCGTGGCCACGAAATAAAAATTCGTGGGAACGAAATAAAATTCGAGGGAACGAAATAAAATTCGTGGCCACGAAATAAAAATTCGTGGGAACGAAATAAAATTTTCCTGGGAACGAAATAAAAATTCGTGGCCACGAAATAAAATTCGTGGGAACGAAATAGAAATTCGTGGCCACGAAATAAATTCGTGGGAACGAAATAAAAATTTCGTGGCCACGAAATAAAATTTGTGGGAACGAAATAAAATTCGTGGCCACGAAATAAAGTTGTCTATATAATGTCGTGTTTGTAGTTTATTCTCTTGTATGTCATTTAAAATGAACGGACTTATTATTATCATTCAGTTGGACTGAGCCAAATGGAGTTTTGTTTAAAATCGTTATGGGTTTTTAATAAAATGCCCGAATAATCATTAATTATAGAAATTTGATTTTTACCGGTTAATTGCATGAAGAGCTGATGAACGAATAAATAGTATCAATACTGATCTCACTAGTTCATCGCATTTTTTCCTTAACAAATACATGTACCTTTATTGAAGAGCGCACACTTTCATTTGTATTAAATAGTTGAGTTTTATGTGAAAATGATCATGACAATATCTGTCTACTTGTGTGCCAAGTTATATTGAAATCGGACCAAAACTGTAGGAGGAGAAGCATTTTGAAAGCATTTCACAGAAATTTCTATTTTTAGTAGCCACGGCAACATTGTTCACCAAAATTGAAAACCAACGCACAGAATTATGTACCTTAGTGTAGTCTAGTTGTGTGCCAAGTTATACTGAAATCGGACCAAAACTGTAGGAGGAGTAGCATTTTGCAAGAATTTCACAGAAATTTCTATTTTTAGTAGCCATGGCAAAACCGTTCATTGAAACCAAAAACGGATGCTTAGAATTATGTATCTTAGTGTAGTCTACTAGTGTGCCAAGTTATATTGAAATCGGACCAAGACTGTAGGAGGAGTAGCATTTTGAAAGCATTTCACACAAATTTCTATTTTTAGAAACCACGGCAACTTTGTTCACCGAAATTGAAAACCAATGCACAGAATTATGTATCTTAATGTAGTCTACTTGTGTGCCAAGTTATATTGAAATCGGACTAAAACTGTAGGAGGAGTAGCATTTTGAAAGCATTTCACAGAGATTTCTATTTTTAGCATCTATGGCAACACCGTTCATTGAAATCAAAAACCGATGCACAGAATTATGTAGCTTAGTGCAGTCTACTTATGTGCCAATTTATATTGAAATCGGACCAAAACTGTAGGAGGAGTAGCATTTTGAAAAATTGTTTACAGACAGACAGACAGGCAGACGGACGGACGACGGACGCATTACTATCGCATAAGCTCTTCTGGTCTCTGACCAGTAGAGCTAAAACCTCAAGCTGATGGATGCGATTTAAGTCCTCAATAAAAATTCTGAGTAAACATTTCAACATATCCAAGGTGAAAAAAAAAAATAAAATCGGTTACATTTTGTTATAACTCACAAACTCAAATGAAAGAAGATAGAATTAATGAATCCGTACGTAGACATTGATATCTAAAAAATATTAGATAAAGTTTCAATGTTGTTTATTATTAAAACTTTTTTTAGAACATGTAAATTATTAGAAATACCAGAAGGAGCGATCGAGCTTTTAACATGCGCAGTCCAATGCATACCAAGTTAATCTTTATAGAATATTTTTGAGCAATTTGACGTAATTTTATTTAGACGATACTGTATTCAACTGTGACGGCAATCAATCGTTCTGTGACATGACTGAAACGTAACTGCGTGAAAACGTATATTCAGATCAAGTAGATTGGACCTCATAAATTGTGTCTGGTTAATATTCGGAGTAGGTGAAGCATGCTAAAACTAATCAATTTTTTTGGAGAGAGGGATGCTGGGGAGGATCTTGAAGATATACAGTTGTACATGCACTCCCTCCTTAAATCTAGTTTTTTTTTTCATTTTCATAGGTTCTGCATGGAAAATCAACACTAAATAAAGCAAATCCAGTCGTTCATGAAAACACAAGAATCTTAGTTAGACAATTTTTACTGTATATGTTATTCGAATTGCTGTAACCACAGGATTAATGTATATTTACTAATTCCCGATTAATTTGACGTTTAATAAAATATCTACCACACGTGGCGATGTATACTCATTGTTACCCAGACTTAATCAGATTTGTTTTTTAAATGAAATTATTCTGTGAATCAGGAAAATAATATTAAGATTTTAAAACTAACGTAAATATCAATGAAAATCGTTTTCCTTTCCAATTCTCTAAAAAAAGTGCTTTTTGAATCTTATAGTTAAAAAAAAAAGCCTATTAATTGCTATACAATAACAAAAGACCTTGTCTTAGACGATCACTGGTATAATATCAATATGTGTAGAATTAAATTTATTTAAAGAACATTTTCACAACTGTGATACTATAACTCATTTATAAGTAGAATATATATTGATACAAAATCCACATATTTAAGGAATTCGAAAAACTGTCACAAGTGTAATGATGAAAAAATTTACTTTCCAATGATAATATTGGATCCCACTGAGCTGGAGACCTTGCTGAAGATTAGGGGGTCTTTTGGTTCAAAACTGGTGACCTCAAGGCTGGTAATAGCATTAGAACTATGGGTGTTGTGGTGGAATTTAATCGTGCCAAGATTGTATGGAGAGATGTCTTGTAGAATGCCATAACCCTCTCCTGCAAACTGGTCTCGGGAATGCTTTGGATACAGGTTCCAAGTCGCAATGCCGTACTTCATATCAATAAACCCCGTGGAAGTGTTTGAAAAGATATATTAATCCCCGTATCCATTGTTACCGTAATGTCCGACGTATTCCGATGGAGATCTCGAAAGCTTGTGAGATTTATTGATTGTGTGACTCGCTTCTGGGGGCATAGAGTACCATGGATTTGGAAAAGAACAAATTGTGCTGGAGTTTAGCCATGCATCTTCCCCCAATGCAATATCTGCTAAGTAATTGTGAGGAAGAGTTCGGAAAATATAATCAGAATCTTGTCCATTCATTGTCGTAAAGATTCCGATGTTCATCTCCGGTATGAGAGTTATAAGAGACGAAAATCCTAGTATTGTTCCCGTATGGCGTAATATTTTATACTCTGTAAGAAAGAATCTATTTCAATTAAATGTGTCCACTTTCCTGATAAAAAAGGAATACAGTACTACTTAATTGAATATTTCAAGGTTTTGAGCAAAAAATTCATCCATATTTTCAATTGATTGTATGTTGTTTAACCTTCCTCTAAAGAATTTTCACTCATATATGGAGACGCCCTCAATTAATTTTTTTTACATTTTAAAGAAATGAAATACACTGCTTAATATGAAAGCAGCATCTAGTATGAATTTATACATTGATGTTATGTGAAAGCATTAAGAAAAGTATCAACGTTACCTCTATAATGACCATTTCGCCACCCTAGAGCATAATTATCCTCACTTGTCTTGTGAGAAACCCTTGGTTTTGGAAAATATCCACTTATGCCTGATGAAGATATGGAATTCCGTGCATTGTACGTGGATTTCAATGTGTCTTGTGTAATAACGCGACTTCCACTTTCGTTCAAACCCCCACTGAGATGAAATTTCATCCACTTTGCGATATCATGGGCATTACTCATTAAGCATATTGAACTGCATATTTTCTTCCACGAACTATAAAAGATGGAAGTAATACTATAATTAATTTTAAATAATTCTGCACATCGAATCGGAAAGAAGGCTTAAGAACTTTGTTCCATACTGAAGCAAAATAAATTAGAATATTTCAGAATGTTTTAATGTCATGCAAGTTTATCAATGAAGTGGTAGTAAGAATTTGTTAGAAATATCAATGTATGTGTATTTTCATTTATGCAAGATTTTATGGGATAAAATTCTATCATGACAAAGATTAAGACTGCAAACAATAATTAATCTGAAAAAACCTTAAGCTTATATAAATCCTCGTATCGGAAGAGAATCCGAAAAAAATTATGTATGCATTTACACGATCCCTGGTAATTTCAGTGGTGGAAAATGTGCCGAGGAGATGAATGCATTTCTTGTCGGCATGAAATGTCCTTGTTAATATAACTGTAAATAAAAGTCACTGCACCTTGGTATTTAACATTAATATAAAAGACTGTCGGACTCCTTCTCGTCCTCATTCCTCTTCATTTGTCCGTTAGTCTGTCCCTCTGTTTGTCTCTCAGTCTACCCCACTTGGTTTTACGTACAAGTTCCTAAATGTTGCTAATTATGTATTTTGGTGAGTTACAGACTTTGTTTGCATTAATATTTCTACAATGATTTTCTACGGACCGTTCGCCTTTTTATTGTTTAATATTTTCTGCACTTATCTCATTTTCATTTTCTAATGCGAACCGAAATTTACACAATGCTCTCAAAATGCCAGTCGATTATGGAAAGGGTTGGAAAGAAAACAGCGTTAAAGCAGCCCTTCTGTTAAAATAGAGACATTTTGATCATTTCATGATACCTTTAATACATGTACACTGTAGTTTTTGAACTTACTTGTAAAGGCCGAGGAAACAGGAATGGGTGTGGATTTTGTGACGTCATCGATGCAACCTTTAGCGACGTGATCAGTCCCCCTTGCTTCCGAAAAGAATGAAGAAGAATGCATTCCAAGGGGCGAAAAAGTTCTTGTCGAACAGATCCTCCCAAGGTCTTCCTCCTATTTTCTCGGAAATCGTTGTTGACAAGCCAAAGGCAATGTTTGTGTACTTGTATGTTTCCCGGAAAGGATAGACGGACTTCAGATTCTTCATAACACTGAAAATGGAAGAAATAACGCAAATTACTGATATATTTTTTTACGTATCAAGTGAATTGAAAATACAAACTACATCTTTGGCATTAAATGCTAAAGAAAAAAAATGTCATTACTTATATTAATCAGTAAAAGCTCTACTAGTATATGTCTGATTCTCTTCAGTCACCTAACGGTGAAAGCGGCGGGGACTGTATTTCCTATACGTCTGTCCGTCCGTCTGTGTGTTCGTCCGTCTGTCTTTCACATTGTCTTTCTGTTAATCTGTCCCACTACCTTTTTCGCACTATGTTTTTTTTTTAACTCTTCCAGATTTTTGGCAGATCCATGATATGAGAATGTATCTTGATTAGTTACGAATGAAGTTTGCATTTCGTTTGACGTCATACATTTTTGACATATTGTTGCAGTTTTATTTTTTATGTCGTGGTTTGAGACCAAATGAACAAAATTAATGTTCCAAACGAATTTGCAATGTAAAAATTATTAATTTGAAGCTTGATGGGTGTTTATAGCAACAGGCTAGATAGAATGTTCTTCATGCATCGTTAAACTACTGTTCGTAATCTCCACATATTTCATAACAAGAGATGAACTTTAAATGAAGATATTTTAGCTGAATAACAAAAATTGTGAAGGTCTCAATATGTCAAAGAATAATATTCCACTACTGTTTTCAGTTTAGGGCTAATATTTGAATGACGCTAAATCTCTGTCTCTACATATAAATGATCATATACTTGCCTTGGAAAATTCGTTCTGTTTAGCTTTGGATTCAATCGTAGATAACTGTGTTTAGGAATGGCGAGCGCATGTGACAAAATGTCCCGGATGTTGGCATTCTCGGTTCTTATTGTTGTTGAAAATTTAAAACTGCCATCATAGAAACTAGTTAAGTGAGTGCATAAGTTGTAGCCGAAATCAAAAAAAGAAAAAGTTTGTTCAGTGCAATTGTGGTTTAAATAGGCGCGAGTATTAACAATACCATGTCTATCATTTACATATGTATGTACATATACTTGCCCACGTGGTACAGTGGTCAAAGCATCAGCTCTGGAGTCGCGGTGATAGAATTTTTTTCCTGACATTGGGGGTTTGAATCCTACTGTGGAAAGTGGAGACCGGTCTTTCGCATGATATCGTATAAACAGAGGTACCGTATCACAATAGATGCTGGCAAAAAAAGATCCTTAACTGCTCAACGGCCCTAAATGCCCAGTATAGGACAAAAATATGCCTCTTTGTATAGTGGTGGAGCCTCTATATGAGTGAAAAATTCTCGACTCGAGAAGGAAATTAATCAACAAACAATCAAACACGTATGTGAAATTAGAAGATGCTAAGACATAAAACCATCGCCTTTATTGTGTGTGAAAGAGTTAAGATAATAAGTATTTGTTACTACTTGCTTTGGATTTTCATGAAGCAGCTTCGCCAATAATGTTGCAGAAACTGCTTTAGTTATTGACGCCAGTCGGAATAAAGTGAATTCTGTGACGGGTGTTCTGGTTTGTAGGTCGGCCAATCCGTAACCTTTGGAGATCAATACCTGGTTATCCTTAACAACTGCGACACTTAGTCCAGGGATCCGCGGATGACATGCTAAGGCCTATAATATGAATGCAAGACAGAAACTAATTTTTTGCAAACTTTAAATACTGTATACAGGGAATATTTTGCCCCCTTTTTATTTTCCATTTTTAAAACGGGTGAATTCAAGGAATACAGAGTGATTTCTTAAATAAAACTGTGGCTGGGCGAATTTTAAACGAGAAAAAATAAATTGGGGCGAAAAGATCCCTTTTCTTTAGTACTACATTTCTTCCTTTTTTTCTGCATTTATTACGAGATAGCACTGGAATTCTGTAAAATAATGTATTTATCAAAAATTCATTCACCTGTTGAAGAACTGGTTCAACTACGCCCTCGAATTTAGAAACCGACGTAATCAGGTTATAATCCATAACCAGTAGTGTCAACCGTAACAGACCCTTCATAATATGGTTATGCTATTTTACCCGGTCGATAAACACATCTAAATTACAAGATTACGTTTGTCGAATCGCATAGAATATGTCCTCGTTTCTACAGCGTTATCACACAGTATACTTAGAACTATTGTAAATATAGTATTGTCTTACTATATGATTGAATAAATGACATTGTACTGTTGCATACACACTAGCTTAAATGAAGAAAAATGTACACAATGACCTCAGTACAAAATATGTGAACATTCAGAGAAAATTTAATTTGCTCCAAATGAATTATAATACTGAAAAGTCAGCATTCAACAAAGGAGTAAGATTTCATTTTTCATCTCGTTCTCTCCCTTAATTTCAATAAAATTAATTGATATTTTGATAGTCTTTCAAAGATAAGGAAAATGGAGGTAATGCCTCTTCAGAGGCCCTCTCATATATATCATCACTTATGGAACAAAATTTTTTTACCCAAAACATTAAAAGTTTCTCAATTTTTTCTGATTTTTCATAGAATATCGTGTTTGAAGTATGTGTTTTGTTCGAGACCAAATGTGGCACAACTGCAAGAATTCAAATCTAAGTTGGAACACATACAAACAAAATATACAGGATATTCGTCAAAGTTATTCTTTGCATTTTGCATAATTTTAGTTGTGCTTTAACCAGTAGATAGAGATTCAATATCCGAAGTTGAGAATTTGCTGTCTTTTAAAGTGAACACAATTTTTACGTGTGTGTAAGTAAACTCTTCAGGAATAGAATAACAATTTTGAAACTATTCACGTAATTCTAAATCTTTACATAGCCGCTAAAGAAGTAAAGGGTTAGTCATACTTGTATTTAGGTTCCATTCTAATGATTTCAAAAATTTTTTGCAGAAGTCATTTCCATATACCAGGACTATTTCTATAAGAATGCCTTTTCTTCGTAGTGTGTCCAGGGAATCATATGGTAAATTTAATTTCAATTTTAAAGATGGTGATACCATCACCAATGTTTGAAAGTTGAAAAAATGCAATTTTACACTTTACGAAATTAAAATTCAGATCTATAATGAAAAGAACCTGTTCAACTCACAACATTTTATTTTCTGTAGCACGAGTGTGTTATAAACATATCAAAGCTGAAAAATCTATTATAATCACAATTTCCTCGCAAGATAAGAATCTAGTTCTATAATGAAAAGCACATGTTAATCAAACAAAATGTTCTCCTCTGTAGCATTAGCGTGTTATAAGCATGTCAAAACTGACACACTTAATCACAATTCCTCGCTAAATGGCGAAAAAGGTGCAATTGAATTCAATCACATTTCTTATTAAGATTGCAAAAGGTGAGACTGATTTTTTTTTTATATTTAATCAATATGATATCGTAAATGAATAATAACTGATGTTCATGTATTATAGACAGCTTGTAACAAAGTGTTCAGCGACTGCTTTAATTTCAGCAGCATTTTTCGCAAAGAAAGATACTAATTCTAATTCGATTCTTTTGATTAAGTAGCAAGGTCAAGCCAGAGTCTTTTTGTCTACATAAAGTACGAGGGGCGTTCAATAAATAATGTCATTGGGGCTCAGAAAGAAGCAAACGACGTTTTTCAATGATTTAGTCTTCATGATTTTACTTATTAATCTATTTTAATTCAAACACATGTCCGTAACATTTTTTATCCAATTTCTGATTGTTTTTAGAACTCATTTTTGGGGATGACCCTTAGTATACTGGAAAATGGCAGATCCAATGATTTCCTGGACTTGTTTTTTCCTTCTGAAAGGTGTTTTATTCAAGTTTGGAAATAGAAACAAGTCAAAAGGTCAAAGATATGGCAAATATTGTTAATGTGAAAAATCATTAACTT